GAGTGAGAAATGTAGCTAATGCCCAGCAGCCTGGTCTTTTGTTTGGAGTACGGTCTTTTGTTACAGAGCCCTGTTTAATTTGTCCGAGTTAGAGACCCCGGCCACGCATATAAACCATACGTCTCCGATTCCGGAGTCCCCGGCAGGAAGTGGTTAATGTACCTGGTTCTTTTAAAGACTTAAAACGCTCAAACTAAACCGCATCGGCTATGCCTAAAACCAGTATTTTCAGGACTTTGTCTTGTGCTTTTGCAAAGCAGTACAAAGCACTGTGCCAATGGCATGAATATGGAGCCAGGGCAGTTACAATCCATATTGGAATACATTAAGTTTGACATTTCTGTTGCTTTTTGACAGCTGAGAATTATAGCTACCCCTGACTACTTTAAAGCGGCAGATATTTTTTGAACTTAAAATAACAAGGCGACCCACACTCAGTGTACACTTCATGTGCAAATTCACTGCCCAAATGTGGTTTGAACATGTCTTGAAGCAGTTTTGAAGTTTTCTTGACAAGCATGAATCTAGATATACAGTCTACATGTACATACTGCTAACTGTGTCATTTGTTCCACGTGTCAAGCATCACGTGACCCACTCTGTGAAAATGAAGTCGCCAGAGCCACTTTTTGAGTTTTCATTTGTAATGGAAAGAGCAAATTGAGTTTTTTGTTTTGATGTATCACTCAGTTTGGCATCCTGATGAAAGTGGATACTCCACGGTGAAAAATGCTGTGGGTTCCTATTGATTTACACTGTGCAAAATTATTCTAAAGGACTTTTTACTCCAAAGTGGCTCTGGTGGACTTAAGACTCATTTTCACAGAGAGGGTCACATATTACCTATCTTGCTGCGTGTAGCAAGAGTACACTTGGCCTAATCACTACCAGAACGGTGGTCAGGTTCCCCGCCTCCTTTCTGCATTTTATGTACATGTATGTATGCATTCTGTACACAAGTGGTGTACATGTACTTCCTGATGCTTTAATCGTGGCACAATCTGTTTCGACAGGCAGAGCAAAAAATGATTCTGCTAGGAAACCGTCAGACTTTTTAACTTTCATGCCCTAGAGTTTCTCAACAATTCTAGGTCACTGTAATCAGTACGCAGTTTGCAGCGGTCTAGCTACATGCGTACATGGCATTACATTTCTTGGGCATTTCATGAGTGTTTTGGTTAAGGGCGGTGACATAACTTCAGAGCAAGCCCCTGGGGATTTCCCTTAAATAAATAAAACTTGTAAAAAGAATTCTGAACATTAAAAACTATGCTGAGGTAAGCAACCTCACTACTGTTTAAGGTAAAAATCATAAAACTCAACATGAAAAGTCGTGATGAACTTGTCATAAATACAAGTACTGTGTGGATATATTTAACGATTGTCTCAAATTTGTTTCGAACGATTAAGTAACCAACTACTCCGTAACCAGGCCAGCAGTTACGCGCAGAAAAAAAAACACTTTAAAAGCGGGACGGCATTTGTTTCTAAGCACTTCCAGTATTACTACACATTAGCTTGATATGAATACACAAAATAGATGCAAAATAAAGTGGCTTCTTATGTTCACCATACGCTGATATGCTATATGTACACCAATCCTGTAAGTTCTTTAAAAACTGACAAAACCACAAGGTTCCACGTCTACTTTTCTTTCTTGGAAAACGATCGCTGCTGTCTTAAAAATACCTTTTCTTTTTAAAGATGCGTTACGTGCTACATGCAAGACTGCTTGCAAATAAAACCTCATTGATGAAAAAGTGAATATTTACATTATCACATCTGTCACGTAGTCACTGCACTGTCGTATCGAGAGCAAGCCCACTCACTGTACTACATGTACATGTACCAATACCTACTTTGGTAGAAAAAAAATCCACACAATCTCTTGATAAAATGTAGCCTTGTCAAAATGTGCCAGTACCCATTTTCCCGTACAATCTCTCCCTTATTAACCTTGGCAAACAGAAATGGGATCTACTTGCGAGATGGCACCACCCTCGTGGACAAGGCGGTGTGTGCGTTGTACGCCACTTGAACCGATGGGATGTTTTGATTTTGCCCAACGAGGGCATGTCTGCAGTTCAAGAAAGTGCATGTGGGCGCTGTGCCACCTCGGCAATGGGGTCTCATCAGATGGATCTATACAGAACCAAACGCTACAATTTCGCCATCGATGGCCAAAAACGCTAACCGCCAAAGCTGGGCAATCCAGGTGCCCCATCTCTGGAAACCAAAGCTGTATTCAGGGTACCAGAGAGTAAACAGTAGACGGACAGTTCAGCGGTTTTTCAAAAAACCACAGTCACTTCCTGGAACTTTCATCCCGAACAAAATGTGAAATACCAAATTGACATGTACCGGTAATCTTGCTTTTGACATACATGCATGCCTATCTCTTTGAAATGGACTGAAGCATAACCCCAAAAGCCATCATATATTTAAGTAGGCATTCTCTGCTGCAAATGGCAACAAGCTGAGAGTACCCGGTAGAGACTGTCAAACTGTGGACAGGCTATCACCTTAAATGCTACGTGACGGCCATACCTGAATAGACTTGATGCATGGGAAGCCAGCTTTGCTCTTGTTCCCTGAATGTATCGTATGCAGTGTTATCTGGTAAACGGGACGGTGCCAGATTATTTGGGGTTCCAAACTTCTCTTTCATTTGTTGTTTTAAATGTGGCTTTTTACAGCTACATGTAACTTATCACAAATTTTAAATCCCTTTCAATTATTCAGAGTGTAAAAACTGGCATTAGTTTGTAATAAACTGTAACTTTGTCACTATTATTTTTACTCTCAGGTTCCAAAAATGACGAGCTAACCCCACGTTCCATTCAAGATGGCCGACACGTGCATACTCTCAGATTTTACATAATTACTGTACAAAAGGCAGGGAATTGTTCAAAACAATCTCAAGCCCAGAATGTTGTTCATATTCCAGAATCTTCGTCAGAACCATCAATTTCAGTACATCCGATCTCAGTCATGAAGGTGACGGCATGTCTCAATTCACTGTCGAGTGGTACAAATTCTGTTTCACATTTCAGATGGTAACTACATATACCAGTAACTCTGTGCACACTACGATGTACACAAACGTGTACACTGTACACGGCTGGAGCAATTACTGTATTTCTGAATCTACAGGAACAAGTACAGTAAAAATTACACTTGAACATTTCAAATTGACTCATGCAAGTTTTTCCCGGTATACATTTGTTACGTACATGTACTCGAAAAACGATGCTTAAGTAGAAAGAGCTATACATTTAAACCTACGAGATTGTACATGTATATTTGTTTAAAATATTCCTTTAGATCTACATTACTGATTGACGTTTTGGTTGATTATTTCAAATTATGTTATTTCTGGATTTAACTGCCTGGCAAGTCTCAGTCACAAAGTCTAGCTAGAGTACAAACGTGAATCGCATGTACCGTACATGTACACGTATGTGTACATGCACATGTGGGAGGTTTAACATTGGTGCTGTGTGGACGGCCACTGTGGACCGAATCGTGTACGTGAACTCGACCTGGTCTTTCTCCAGGAAATCTTATTCCACGTGTGCCTGCTGTTCAGATCACGATCGTCTTCACGCATTATTTATACCTTGGCATCCGCTCTGTGGAGAAGCGCGCCCTTCCCTTCTCTGGACTGAAAAAGAGAGAAGCTGAAAGGGACCGTTTCAACGGGGGGTTCCCGACAGAAGTTGGTTGTGCATTCTCGGCATGACGGTCTCTAGTTGGCTTATTGGGAATATATTAAAGACTGTGAAATTTCATGTGACTTGCATGAACATGTGCACTGTACACGTATGTTTCAGGTGTGCGCGTATCGGTGCGGTCGTCGTGGTGGCATGTTCACATACCTTTGGACTGTGTTTAATCCAGGGTGGACGAGGGGCAAGAGCCCCCAGTTTTATTTTGAAAAATAAAGAGAATGGCGATGTTTTAAAAATCTATTTTTTTTTCCTCCCTAAAGTGTGTAAAAAGCCAAAAGATGTACATGTAGCCCACCCCTCAGAAATGCCATATAAAACGATAACATAAAAAAATATCTACATTTGGCCTCCAACCCCCCCCAAAAAAATCCTCTGAACACCTCCTGTACGTTTTATAGATGTATAGATGTACACATTCAAACTGGATATGCTGGCTTATATGCTTAAAAAAAAATAATATCAGAAGTGTTGCTCAGAATTGACACAGTCTTAAAACTTGGCGTGCAATGTTGGAATTCCTAAGAGGCTCGTTGTGCTGAAATGTTTCCAGTCCAAGTGTATGCAAACTTCTGATCCAAACTAAAAATCCCACGTAGGACCTGTGGATATGCACTGCACAGTACATTATTCATGTACCATACCGCAATGCGCATCGCCTTGTCATCAAATCCTTTGAATATTACCCTCCAGGCTCATCTGTAAGCCACATGTTCGAGCACGTGTTTACCAACCCACGTGCTTAGGAATCTCATGTTTGTTTGATTTATTCATAGGCTATTTTGAGAGATGCAATTTCCGCAAACAAAATGTCACCATGGTATAACAAAACTGGCTTTAGAGGAGGTCTGGTCCACTGACTTCTTACACCTTGTGCCTTGGGTTGTAACCTGCACCCCTCAGATGTGAAAATGACATGGGGGAGGGGTCCTCAAAATACCAGCTCCCACTCCGTCTTGTATTCAGGCTTCAGGCTTGAGTTTTGTGAATTCAGTCATCTGGGTTTCTCACTCTTAAAGCTCAGGACTATTACATGTACATCCTCTGCTACGGAAGCATCCATGTGTCGAATATGAGGGCAAGGTTGTGAAGACTTGTCATTTGGTTCGAATGGCGAACATTCAAGACTGATTGTGGAGCTCAGCAAAACTGCAATTTTGAAAACCCCTCGTGGCTCTCGAATGGAGTACGGTACGCGCGAGTTAATTCACGCGCTGGTTCTCGCTCTAATGCCTTTAACACACAGAATTGTGCATAATATGACGTACGCACTTCCGTACTCTATGGGTTTACTCATTCTGTGATGAGGAACCAACATATCAAGCTCAAGCACACTTCATAAAAAAAATAAATACTACTGCCTAAGTTCCTGGGACATATAGTATTTTACAGTGGTTAATAGCTGGGAAAACAGAAAGTTGAACTTAGAAGTACTTTTAAGGGAAATGTCTGTGACTAGACTTAACAAAGTTGCTTGGGAAATAACCTTTTCGGTACACTTTAGAGAAATACAGCCCTTTTCTTTTTCAAAGAAATCAGCTATCAAAACACTGTCAAGGCTCTGCACTTACATGTACACTATTATGCGAGTTAAATTTGGTGTCAGTCACTTTCCTGTAAGAATTGTGTTCGAAACATTAAGAAAAAAAACCCAATTTAGACAAAGTTCTTTATTGTGGAAGTGAACGGGATGGAGTATAAAGTCTTGAATCACTGGCCAATATGAAGCAACCTCACTGTTCAACTTGACCAACCAGCAACTAAATAAAACGTGAGAATGACTGGCTCTGATTCGGAGCTTTAGAGTTTTACCGTGCACGAACGGTGCTTTAACAGGGCGATACCTGCAAGTTGTCCGAGTCCCACTCGTCTTCTCCGTCGGGCTGGGGCTGCTGCTGCTGTTCTTGCGCTTCTTGATGCTGCTGATGCTGGAGGCAGGGCTTGCCGCCATCCTCGTCGCCGTCCTTGGCTCGCAGCGTCTCGTCCAGGTCGTCGTTGCTGTGGTAACAGCTGTCCTCCTCTTGGTTGTCGAGGAGTGGGTCGTTGTCAAGGAAGGGGTCGTGGTCCGGCTCGGCCTCGGGGCGCTCCTCCTCTTCCAGGAGCTCCTGCTGCTCCTTGATGCGCTGCTGGATCTTGTCAAAGTCGGCTGTTGTGCAACAGTCCAAAAGAATAAGTTTCAGCGACTGTCTATATATAGGCTAAGTTTCGTCACATTCCTCAACAAGTCCCAGCAGGGACTGGCAATGCACTGTGTGGGCCTCCTGGTAGTGCCAAAGGCACTGACACTAACTACTTTTCTAAAACAATATTTCTCAGGAAAGAGGGAACATTTGAGATTTCACCACTTGACCTACTACCCATCTTTATAAATAAACACTGCCAAAAAGAGTTTTAGACGTCATCTAACTGAAATGTTGCAGGTTTACACATCCGCTGGTTTGAAACAATTGAAGGCCAGTTTCACACATGTACTTCTAGCAAATGCATGTGTAAACAAGAAAGCTCTTTTATCATGTCAGATCAAAAGTTTGGAAAAAGCTGTCCGCATTTCAACTCTAGCAAAATTCGAGGCAAACATTGCATGGCATCAAAATTGCTCTGCTTTCACATTTTCCAGAAGTACGAACAGGCCTTAGGCGAAAAATAAAGGAAATGCGGGGGGGGGGATTTCTAAATACTGACCTCTCTTGCCAGGCCAGACTTCCAACATGGTCTGCAGCACATCGATGTGCTTCTCATAGTCGGCGTCCTTGCCAGACACTGCCTCCCGGCTGAGGGCGGCGTTACTGCCCGAGGATGCTGCACTCATGAGCACGGGGCCAAAGCACACAGCGATGTTGTAGGCGTTCATCTTGTTGGTCTCCGAGTGTACCATGATAAGCTTCAGGTGGTCCATGATGTAAGAAGCAGTCGTCTAAATACGGTAGCAAGGGAACAGAGAACTAGTAAGGAACAAAAATGTGTTCACCCGACTAACCCCTGTGGGCTGTACATGTATCGTTAGGCAATCTGTTGACCGGAAAAAAATCTAACACTGCTGAGACAAGAGGCCTCCACAGTGCAACAAAATGCTGGACTGCATACACAACATGCAGTGATGGTTAAGGCCTTCGCCACGTTCTGGGGGCAGTTTTGTTCGGAAAGTCGGGACCGAGTTGTGGGGACACAAAAAACTGTCCCCGCAGCATTTTTGGGTCCCCACAATGTCTACACTTGAATCCTTGCATATGTGGTTCCCCCAAACAACGGAACAAGTACTAAACAATACCAGTATGTTCACTGTGCATGTGTTTGCTCAGTGTCTCCTATCAAACAATGCATACAGCACAAGTTTCTCATGACTAGAGCACAGAGGCCATGCACTGGTTTCTTCATGACATGTACATGTACACCTGATTTTGGTACATATTTACCAGTACATATACATGTAACAGGATTCTCAAGGAAGTTATCGAGGTTTAAGGTTGCACCACGTAAGGATCTCTCTTTCTGAGTATGTGTGGTTCTTTTCAGAACATCTTTGAGTATGTGCAGTTCATTTTCAGAACCGCACATGCTCAGAAAGAGATACCCCCATCGTGCTTCCACAAAACTCTGTAACTTACTTGCTACCTTCCCATTAAAAGCTTCAAAGCTCAAAAAGGATTCTTCTCTCTTTAAACTCTATTTTAAGCAGAAAGGTGGGTATACCGGTAGACCCCGATTAAGACCAAAAATTGGACTTCTGCACCCCTGCCCCTTGCACTTCTACAGCGGTGCTCTGCAAATATTTGGACGACCCAGAAAAAAAAAAAAATGGCAGTCCAGTGTCTGCCTCGTGACTTACAATGTACAGCATGTGCATGTGTACACACGCCCGCACGGCTGTTGATGAAGTGGGATTGTCAATGGGGAAACTGGGCCAAATGAGCATTTCTGTATCTATGCGCGGAGAATTGCCGGGGGGGGGAAAAGCCTGATAATTATATAGCCCGCTCACGAGGGGTGCACGTGTGCGCTGCGGCTTCGGGGCTCCCGCCGCCGTGAAGTACAGTCGGATGTGACATTGCTTATCTTGATTGGAGCCTTCATGGAAAATGCCACATGCATGCGTGTGTGTACAGGTGCTTGCCAGAACATGGTAACATTTTAACATTTGGAAAATGGAACGCTGCAACATTTTCAAGGGTCCAAAGGAAGAACAGGTCCAGGGTAAACGACGGATCCACCCTGGTTAGACAGGACAAAATGAAAAGGTATCGGAACCTCAATGATTCAATTTATTGTGTTCCATACAAACGGCCATCTGTAATCACCCAGCCCCAAATAAAACAATCTGTTAGGCATTTTAAGATGCATGAAAACAAAAACTAAACTCTAAAAGGAAGAGAAGACAAATTGTGCAATGTGTTTGAAGAGAAATGCCTAACGCACACATACGGTACATGTATGCTTCAGACGGTGTTTAGGTTTGTGGTGGTCAGGAAAAGAACCGGAGAGATAATTGTACAAATTTGGTGTTCCAATATTTTTGTGTCCCTGTGACGTCTGACATATGGTGTAGTAAGGTTCAGAACACAATCTTGAATTTCTAAGAGTGATTAAGTGTTGCAAATTACCTGCCAAAATCAAAACAACAGTTTGAAGTCAAATTCAATGATATTTCCAAGTCAAATTGCACAGGTTGAAGTGTAACAGGGACACAAAAATATCACTTTTTTGGACTCCAAACTTCTAGAACAACCCAAAGGGACATGATTTTTTTTTTTTACAGTATGGCTGAGCACATGTACATGTAATTTAAACAATCTGTTCCTCCTTTCACCTCCTGAAGACGGGCAGTTGGAAATGTTATGAAATTGTCTTTTTCTAGCGGTAACCACCGTTGTGGTCCAGACCTCTTATGACAATGAAAAGACCCGCACCAGACCCAAGATCATCGCGAGATCAACATAAGACCAACTTCTCTCAACGGGACTGCAGCAAAGGAACATGTACACGTATTGTCTTAGAGGCTGTTCTCCCCATGTTCGTACAGGGTACCGGTGCATGTACATGTACATGTAACTGACTGGTCTTGCGATCTGGTCTCGCGCCTGGTCTCGACTGAAACACCGCCGGTGACTTTTACGGCACGACTGCGCGTCTCCGCCAGGATGGCCACTTACCCGGTTGGCGGGGGGAAGGGACTCGATCATCTGGACCAGCTTTTCCCCGTCGCAGGCGGGGTCCGCTGACTGGTTGCCAAATGTGTCCATGAAGCGTTGGCACATCTTAGTGGTGAAGAGGGGCTCCGGAAGCTCGCGAAGGTAGTCCTTCAGGACGCCTGAAGATAAATTGTTTTTGATACAAAATCACACAGATCGTCAGGCGATATGTACGAGAACAAACACCAACCAGCTACGGGGGTGTCTATGTACAAGTACAGGCAAACAGTATGACACACTTCTTGAAGGTTCAAACAGATGATCGTTACTGTTAGTAAATGCCAAATAATTTACAAATTTTGACGCCTTCTGTACATACATGTACATGTACGATTGGGGCAAAAGGTTTACATACACTTGGTAGAAAAAGTTTTCTTCAATATTTCGCTGTTTGAAATCCATGTAGTTTGACCAATTTTTTCTTTATGGGGTCAGACAAATCGAATGCGTAATCCTGTGTAACTGCCAAGTAATCTGGACAGCACTACAAAGAACCAGAAAGAAGTTCGGATTTTTTGCTAAAAATCTACGCATTTCTACTGATGCCACATGCATCAGTACATATGCATCTGCATGCATGAAAAAGGTTGGCTGAATTACTCAAAATAGCCAGATGGAACCCTTCTTAATTGTATGCCCTGAAAGGATGAGACAGAAGACGTACAAAACTGCAGGTACCGGTACATGTGCCGGTACCCGGTACTGCACACCACATAATAGAAATGGAACAGTCAGGGATACTGTATGGCCAGGAAAAACTAGCCGGTCACATCAACACTTTGTGCAGTTACAGAACTTCAAAAACCTCACATACCGTACATATGTATACACGTTGATGCTACCGGTAAATACATAATTACTTGTACGGCAGTGCGATCGACAAAACAACCACGCCAAATTGTGTCTGAACGAGCATCTTTTTCCGAGGTGTAATTTAATGATTTCATATGCATCCCGTACATGAACCAGTACCGTGTCCAACAGATTCCTAATGTGTGAGTTCTACCGTACATGTAGACCTACATGTACATGTACCTACATAATGGTTGGTGTCGCGCATATAAATGTACATGTACTTATGGTACATGTACATGTATGGTAGGCTTGTACATTGTACATTCCCTACAATATTCGCATTCATCATGTTCATAGACAAATCAACTTTGATTGATGAGAACCAGAGTAGAACCAATCTCAGTGCCGCAGGCCCACAACAGTGGCATTAAGAGCCTCAACCTTGCCCTCTGATGAATACATACATGTACTGTAGGCTCCCAGCAAAAAACCTTGGACCGCCGAGGAATTTGTCATATCATAACCACGCCCTCAGGGCTCCAAATGGCCCAAGCCCTGTTCCTCCCCCCCCTTTTCCTTTTTTGAAATTCCCACCAGTCAATGAAGGTGAGTCATGCCGGCTACCAAATTGCTCTGGGATCTCCGCTTTCATTGGCTGTGTCCCCTTTCAGGGCAATCTTCCAATCCGTGCGGGTCAAACCTAGCTCCCAGCAATCTCGAGGATCGTATTCGGCCGACTCCCCTTTCAGAGAGACTGGGGACTGTTATTTTTTTTTTTCACCCCACCATTCTTCTCTATGGAGCTGCCCCTCGATAAAATGCACCGGTGGGCGGGCTCGAGTTTGTCTCCCTTGAGAGAGAGGGATGAATGCCGCTTTCAGCTGCAAGCAAATTACAAGTACATGTATACGAAAAGCATTTCTTGACACCTTCTTTCTTAAAAGCTGAACATGCACTGTACCGGGGGTACACTTACATGTGCATGCCGAGACAGCGTGGTGGAAATTTCAGTGGCAACGGCCTTCATCACCCGTGCAACTTCGGGTGGGGGCCGGTTTCAAAACAAAAGTTGAAGACGATGACAATTTGGATAAAAAGAATGCTGAGTACCAGGAATCGGTATCAATATGAGCAGAGCAATCACTGGCACGAAAGCGTTTGTGCTGCAGCAAGATTTATGCGTTTCTAAGTCATGAAAAAAAGGCAGCGGCCTGACATGACTAGTACAGTATACAGGTACCAATTAGGGTGGTTAAACTTTTCAAACGTTCTCCAACTTTCAAACGCCATGGTTCAACTTTTCAAACCGTGTGCTTGATACTTGTGAAACAACTTCGCGAGACGGGAAACACATCCAAACTTGACCGCAGAGGATGTGCTTGGTACTGAGCAAATGGCCACCAATGGCGATTTGCTCAGCATATAGCTTTCGTGTGCAGCGGGCATTGTAGGTACATGTACGTGTACGGTACTTGTACACGCGTGTAATACCGGTACATATGTTGATGCAATCAGTAATTTTGAGGCATCATTTCCAATTAAAAGCAATGACACAAGATTAAATGAACAGTAATCTACCGGTACGAACACACCCATCCTCACACAGCTATATTTGGTGGGGTATTTCCTTTGTTCTCGCGTACAAAACTACCACACAACACGCAAAAAATTTCGAATCACACCAATTTAAACCAAGTTCACTTTCCTGGGTTGAAATTTTGACCGTAGTCCCTTATATAAAACACTTCAATTTGCGACAGATTTTTACCCATCAAAAATTTCCTCTTTTTGAGTTATTTCCAAATATCAGTTTCGTGAAATTCTTGTGGGGTACCAATTTTGGTACCCCACAAGGTAAAAACTGGCCTTGTGGGGTACTTCCCATTGTTCCGGTACCCAACAAGGCCCAATGTACACGTATAACCGCATGTGCCACATACATGTACAGTGTACCGTATATATACACTGTACGTGTACACGAACATGTAAATTTACACACTTTGTATAAAAATATTGGTACATGTCACTACATGTAAATGTCATTAGTTTTGCTGTAGCACCATACAAAAATATCCCTTTTGTGAGTACATGTGAGAGAGTACGTGTATGAACGGTTCTGGAAAGAACCGGGGGGCACTCAACGTTTTCTCTGTCCTCCGTCGGGAGACTGCCTGAATGTTCCATTGATTTGCCAGTGTACCGGGTATTGTATTCCATTATTAAGTTTTCACAAATGAAATTATGAAAATCTTGGAAAGATTCGGGAAAGAGTCAGGCATCTTGAGTCTGTGTCGTACACATGCGTACATTTATATGCATGGTTTAAGTGCCACTAACGTGCCTAGACATATACACGTAGATGTAAATGCACTGTAATTACATCAGTTTGAATGGTAGAAGTGAATAACACATGCCATATAGTAAACTAACTGCACAATACACTGCAAACAATACGCAATAATTTAGCAGTATTCATTTAAAAAATGTCAATTTCATGCAATTTTTTTTTCAAATACACTGTATTCGACATTACACTGTTAACCGCCCAACTGGTAAAATGCCTTGGGGAGAATCGCAGATATTAGTACAGTGTACATGTACATGGTACGATACATTCAAAGGGTGAAAAATTTGGGAGTATCCTATCACTGAGGCAGAGCATCACCTACCTGTGATAACATTAAGGTCGGGATAGTTCTCTCTGGATAGGTCTACCAAGCTACTGGAAGCCTCAAACTCATCGTGCAGTCGCTTCTTCCGCTTGGCTGAGCCGCACACCCGATACACCCCCACCATGTTAATGCCGCGCAGCTCGATCTCCTCAATGCACTTCTGCACGATGATCGGAATGTTGGTGTGCGTATTCTCCCGCCGGACCACCACCTCCAGCGGCACGCCGAACAGGCCCCGCCGGTCCAGCGAGGGCACACGCTTCAGCGTGACGTGCCGCTCCGTGAAGGAGAACTTTGCATACATGATGCCCCGGGGCTCCAGCCGTACGGCCAGGCGGAAGGGCTCGTCCTTGGGACGGGTGGAATGCATCAGGAGCTGGGTCAGTCGGACCACGGCCTTGTAGCACAGCTTCTGTCGGTTGGTGTCCCAGTCTGTGTAGCTGTAGATCAGCAGGCTCAGGTCGTGTGCCCGCTCCAGGTCAATCTCAAACTTCTCGTCCCAGCAGAACTCGTCCTTGCCCGACACCGTTGCGGTCTGGGCCTTGTGGACAGCATCCACCTCCATCACACAGTACAGGTCGCGGTTTTCCTTGCGGGAGGACAGAGAGGGGGCCATCTTCCGGCTGCCGTACAGGTGCAGAGTCAGGATGCCCGAGAGCGGCATCTGCCGGTTGCGCAGGCGCGAGCCCAGGTCGCTCTTGTACTTAGTGAACTGCGTCGCGTCGATGTCCAGCGGCTTGCTGGCAGATATCCGTCTGGTCTTCTTGTCCGGTGAGGGCTTGGGCACGTAGCGCGAGCCATCCTCAGCCGTCGCCTCTGCTGAGTTCTTGTCGGCCTTCTTGCCCATGAGGCTGGACTTAGTAGTCTTCTCCACCTGACCTGGTTTGCGTTGACGTGCCTTCCCTTCCCCCGAGCGCCTCATTGCATTGGGCAAGAACTCGAGAATGGCCGATCGTGGTCGCACTGTCCTGGAATCACCTGCAAGAAGAAATGAGGAGCTCCAGTCAAACGTAAGACTCAGACACAGAGGATTCTAAAACCACTTATTGGCTAATCGGTAACCAGAATCAGAAGCCTAGTACAGGTACACGTACTGTGCAAAAGCCATGCTTGTACCATTATGCTGTCTCCTTGAATCACTCTAAAGCAGTCCATCCAGTTTTTACAACTGACAGAAGTTTTGAACCCCGAGTCAGGAATAAGTACATGTACATGCAGATGAAATATGACTACTGTACTTTCATTAACTCTGAGTACCAGAAATACCATCAAAGGCCCCTAACTACAGAAGATATGGTCTACCCTAAGCATTTAAGGTCCGGTGAACACAACAGGAGGGTTTTACTGGAATTTGGTTGGGATGAAATCTTGCGTTTACTTCCAAATTTACCTACAGTCATTTAACTGAATGCAATAAACTGAAGCAAACCAGACTTAACCAATCAATCATGGCAACATACAGTGTACTAGTATGTTTATTTTCAATGTGTAACCTTAGTATCTTGGTTACACAGCCATTTGACTACATTTCCGTGATAAATGTTAACAGTCCAATATTTAGTGTGCCCTCCTTTATTTCTGATTACTTTGACTGGCTTTTTTTTTTAACCCATGCTGCCTTACAGACAAAATGTCATACAAGACCTATCTTTGCAAAAACCCTCATTGAAATGGGCACATAGCACTGCACCGCTGTTATGCACCACTGTAAAAACATGTTAAGTAATCATTCAATCAGACAATGTAATGCAGGCCCAGTGACAGAAATACCAATAAAATTCCAGGTGGTCTTAAACTGTGCAAATGACTGCAGTAGAGTCCGGTTACTGTTTCCGCCATTCTTTAATAATATGGCAGTCCCACCACACTGGAGAAAAATCAAGGCAAGTTTCATTCCTCTATCCCCCCAAAATATGATGCATCCCCACATGATGCAGCACCTTGCTTAATAGTGAACAGTTACAATTTTGTCAAAGTTTAAATTCACCAGAAATCAAGTTTTTCACTTCTTTTTGTTTCTGCCTCTTTCACAACTGCAGCACTGCTTACAGCCGCGCACACAATCATGATAAAATGATCCCTCCCAACCTTTACAGAAAAAAAAGTGTCTCATGCTTACATGTAACTTGGTCTTTAATTTGATTAATTAATGTTATAATTAATTTCAATGTACATGCATAATATTGGTCAGAAGTCACCATTTTGAATTTCACCCAAACCTAAACAAAATTCTGTCTTAGTAGAGACGACAGACTGACTTCATCCACAGTGTGCGGTACGTGCCTTCAACTCCATGCAATATATAAGATCTTAAGGCCTACATACATGTACATGTACATATATGGATAGTACTGGACAAATTGAATACCATCAATCCAGTTTCATTTCATTTTTCATTTCTCGGGAAGAAGAAGTTACAAGAAACAAATACAAACACAATAAGACGATAAGATAATAATTACAAAGAATATTCCAATCAGCCCCCGAAGGATTGCCAAAAAGAAATAATTTCTGTTGAAGGGGCTCTCCAAACTAATTGAAATAAATACAAACATATACTACACTTATGATAAATAATTTTTCTCTGATAAAAGGAATTGAGAATGAAGAACAAGATAAAATAGAGAACAAAAAAAAATTCTGTAAAGAAGAAGGAACATTATGTTATGGTAAGAAAGCTTGTGACATGGTTTCTTGGTTAAACAAGTAGTCACATAAAGAGCAAAGAAATTCTTTTGGTTTGGCTTGGCCGAGGCCCTCCCCTGCACTAGCTGACTGACAGTTATTTCCAGACAACCTATTAATAGGGTACAATTCCTGTGGTTGCCAAACACTAATCCTTCCACTGACAGGTGTCAAGCCCTTTTGTGTGCTGAGTAAAGTCTGTGTAATGGATGAGGGTATTAAACCTTTGGTGACATTTTCACACATTGCTGGACACTTACAGACTGTGGGTGTATAGGTACATTGTAGCTCTATGCATCCACGGACCAGTTGGGAAATAAATGCTGGTTTACCTTCAGTTTTGGTGCTGAAATGTTCCGCGACTCAAGTGCATTTTTTTGGGGGGGTCCAAAACAGTTCAGGATAAATTTTTTTAATTAATGGAATCTGTGGCATGCATGAGTTAAACTTCAGAGTGCATGTATTCTGCGGTGTATTTAACCAGTTTAGCACTCTCCTTGACGCAATGAGGAAATGCACTTTTTTCAAGAGTGAAGGTACCGTAGGTTGTCAAGTGCAGTAGGCACAGCTTGGACAAGGTGTCATGGTTGATTTTACTCAAGTCGAATCAACCCATGGCAGATGCCCCAGTTTGCAATCTTTTTTTCTTCTACAAGAGTGAATTTTGTCAAAGTTTCTCTGTTGATTTAGTGCGAGGCAGCCCGTCAATGGGCAAAGTCAACAGGCAAACTGTTACAAACCTGGAACGTGATCACAGCTGAGTTCACCGACAATCAGAGAGCGAAAAAAAAAAAAAAAAAAGGGCAAAAAATGCCATCGCCCATAAAAGCACGGTCAGGGGCCAAGGTTGCCTTGTATGACTGATGGCACCTTTTCCCAGCACTGTAACTAAAAAGTAGAAGCCTACTGTCTCCACTGAATGGGTATGGCTAGGGCATGCATACCTTACATGTACATTGTTCATGTACATGTACATTGTACATGTTTCGTCTTGCAGTGGACCAAGATTCAAACCAAACAAAAGATGAATGCAAAATTTCAAATATTTCTCAGCAAGCACAGAACAGCAAGCATTCTTAACTTTCTCCGATATCGGTTTGGTTTTCTATGGTAGGGACTCGGCAAACAGCAGTTGACAGACTCACAATGCTACCACGAATGTGGCTAAATCTAACCAAACAAGTTATTGTCAATTGCTACAATGGGCAGGTTTATACCCGTACATTGTAACTGCCGCTTTGGAGGGTACAGACCCTGAAAACTGCTGTGGGTCACGCAAATCTCAATAGAAAATTCTCAACATTTTTACTTTAAAAAAACACAATTCACATTTGCCGGAGATTCTAGAACTTCTCGGTACTGTACCACTGAAGAAGTAGATTTACAAAATATGCCTATTTTCTCAAACATGTCAAATGCAAGCACCAAACTGTCCAACATTCCCTGACAAATGTCATTTTGTATGTGAAAAAAAAAAACCCTCGTAACCCATTCAATCAATCATACCACTTGAACTGCATGATTTAATTAAGGCATCTACAGGCGCACACGTGCTACATGTCTACAATTGAAAAATGGGCTTATTAAAAAAAACCAGCGTATTACTCCCCACTCTTGTGCATAAATGTTACTGAATCTCAGTCTAGTGTATTTCTCTCAGGTCTAGCATCCAATCAGCCAATGATGCAAATTCACAATGTGCCATGCCAATGGCATGATGTGTATTCTGAAATCATACAATATTTACCTGTATTGTACATGTACCCGTATTTATAAGGAAAACTTCACCGCACAAATTATTTATCTGCCTATACCAGTTCATTGCTAAACCATGGTCATGAAGGCAAGATACATTATGTACATTTGTAATGGTACTGTAAGGTAGATCAGCTTTCATGCCAACCTCGAAGCACAGTAATGTTGAGAGTGCCCAATCACACCACACACGCAGAATGTAATGTACCGTACATGCAGATGAAACTGCCCAACATTTCCTCCCTCCGTTCTTATTTTAAACGCGGCACATTCGGGCACCGTGCATGGTCCGCCAAGCTATAAATAGCACGCCTGTTTCAAGTCCTCCCCGTCTGGCCAGTTAATTCACGGCCGTGAAGTCTGAACCGTCCGGCGCTGGCAGCGCTGTTATTATGCAGGCCAGAACGCCCACGCATCGGCGGCGCATATTGCAGAAATGTACAAGGTACATGTAATGTACATGTACACACACACACACAGCCTCAGTGATATGGCAGAGAGAAAGCCTCATGTATTTTAAGTATAGGACTTGCATGTGTACACGTACACAGACATGCACTGGGTATTTTAACCTTAACACTCCCAAATCCTCCAATTTCAATACAATTTTGCATACACCCCAGGGGGTTATGGTTAAGATATGGTATCATGCAGGTACATGTACTGTGCGTTAATAGCATGAACTGCATGTAAATGTACATGTACGAGGACACGTACATGTATATCACATGTACATGTATGCTCAATGTACACTGTAATAGAGGCCCTATTATAAAAATGGTTAATAACTGCAGTATGGGTTACTACATGTACATGTACCGGTAAGCTAATCTGGAATATACATATACTGTACACGTAGAACAATTACAACTGAATTTGGCAGACACTACGATACACACATTGTACACTACATGTACATGTATGTTCACCCTTCACTTGGCTCAACAGATGCCCTGCACTTTTCTGTATACGGGTATGGTACATGTACATCTAAGATCTTCATGTACTTGTACGCGTGTGTAAGATGTCTCTTGATTCCACGGAGTGTCCAGGTACAGTACCGGTACCTCCTTACACTGCAGTCAGGCAGGGGAAATGCTCAATCTCCAAATTAATTAGGAATTAACTGCTAGGTCCGTTGACCGTTATTTGTTATCTGGATGTTTTTTTCTGTGCTTGTGTTTTTGTTAACTGGTTCACAGTTCAGTTTTTGGTTACTCCTTTGCATCCTTTGGAAAGGAAACAGTTGTATTTCTTCCCAATTAATTTTCGATCACTTGAAGAGCAAAGTGTAACGACAGAATCGATACATCGATTGATTAATCGAACCACGATTGGAGGGAACAGGTGCCTACCGGTACCATGTGGGTACATCACTCGCCGCTCTGGTCCTGGGTTCAGTTCCTAGCCACGGCTACAAAGTACATGTACCAATAGTGTGTGATTGTTTGTTCATGGTCTCCTGTGCCATGGGGGTTTTTCCCTGGATCTCCTAGTTTTCCTCCCTCTGCAAAAAATCAACACCTGCGATCTCTGCC